AAATAATTATTATATTAAGGTATAAATATACATTGAATTTATTGTGTATATATATAACAAAACAACACCATGATTTTATAAATAACCAATAATATAATTATATAATAACAGATCAGTCATGCCAAAATAATGTTTTTATTATTTAATTAATTTACCTCCAGCCCTGGATACGCCACGCAGCCTGACTGCTGTCAATGTCACCGACACAAAGGCGCTGTTGCTGTGGCAACCTGCCGTGGCGACCGTGGATGGATATGTCATCACATACAGTGCAGACACTGGTGAGGAAACTCCTGCACTCTCTGTTGTGCTCTAGTTTGGGTTTCTTTATTCATTCTTGACTTGTCTGCATTGTCTCTGCTGCTGCTCGCCCTGTGTAGAGCAAAAAATTATTTGAGATATTTTAATATTACGTGTCACACCGCAGGACACTGCTGTCACTGCTTGACATGTCAGCTACCCCAAAATAAACCCACATCTGTTTTCACATGCTCTGTCTTTTTTAGTTTTTATAGAATAATTTCTGATTCATGTATTTTTCTCCACAGTGCCACCGATATCAGAGCAGGTTTCTGGAAACACGGTGGAGTTTGAGATGAGTTCACTGGCTCCAGCAACTCAATACACTGTCAATGTTTTTGCCATCAGAAACCGAGAGAAAAGTGCTCCAGCGACCACAGACTTCACCACAGGTGAGAGGAGCTTCAGCCATTACTAGAGCTCTAGCGCCCCCTATAGACCTCATCCAATACAGCAGCACTTCTTTATTGAGCAGTTCATATGCGGGATTCTTCGGAAACAGGGAGGAATTTGATTTAAAATTATAGTGAAATTCTGTAATGCATTTTTTTTTTTTTTTTGCATATGATTCATATGTTAATATATTAACATTAATAATAATATAAAATATTTCTTTTTTTGTATTGTTTTATGTCCTATTCATTTTAATTGTCTTATTATTTAGTCATTTCCTATTCAATATAATGAGTATAATTCTCATTATACTCATTATATTCTATTAATTAATTAATTTTCATAATTATTTTAATTATTATTTTATGTCCTATTATTTAATATGTCTTCATCGAAAATTAAAACCATTTAATTTATCACAAAAAATAATTTTCAAAATAATAATAATTATTATTAGTAGTAGTAGTAGTAGTAGTAGTAATATTAAAAGCAGGTTTAACACAGCTTTTAATGTTTTGTTTTATTTAAGAATAAACATTTTTTAAAGAAATGTCCTGTTGTTCTATCATATGTGACCTAATTGAATAATAAAAAACATTTAATGTATCAAAATACAACAAATATGGAATATTTAAATCAGCATTAACACAGCTTTTAATGTTTTATGTTTTTGAAAGTTATTTACTGTTAGTTTCTCGTGTGTCCTGGTTGAAAAAATATATATTATGTGCCACAAATTACTTAAAAATAATTATAATAATTATAAGATATAATAATAATAATAATACTTATTATTATTATTATTTATTTTTTAATGGTTAATAATAAAAAAAATTTTTTTTAAATATTGTATGCCTTGCATCTGATAATCAATACAAAAAAAATGTATCTTTTTCCAAATGTAACTACCTGCATAATAATAATAATAATAATAATAATAATAAACTGCTGGCCTGCTTATTTCAACACTTTTTTTCTGTTTTGTCAAAAACTATTTTGTAAATAAAAATATATTCTCCCATAATGCATCAGTGAGAGAACCTGAGTTTAGGATTCTTTTTATACTCGGTTTTCTTCACTGAAAATACCGTCATTCTCCTGATTCTCAAAATAATGGACTGTCATTAACACAGCTAATGCTGTGATAACAATGATCAATTCTAAACAATGAATGCATTTTTTATTTATTTCCAGCTCATTCGTAAGTGCTGCCCCTAATATTAGCATGTTTTTTTTTTTCATTCTAACTCATCTAATTGTCTGAATAAATGTCAGTGTAATCTGATTTCTCTGCTGTTATGTAGATGTGGACACTCCGCGTGATCTGGTTGCCAGTAATATTCAGACAGACAGCGCCGTTCTCACCTGGACGCCGCCGCGGGCCGCCATCACCGCATATATCCTGACCTTTGAAGCAGCGGACGGGGATGTCAGGGTCAGACTTTTCTCACATACTACTAACCTTCAGATGTTTATAGCTACCCACTTCTGCTATTGAGAATTTCAAGCTTTTAGTGTAATTACATAGGCCATATAAAAGGGATCGTTCAACCAAAAATCAACTTGTGTTGTTTGCAAACCTGTACGACTTGCGTTCTTCTGTGGAGCACAAAAGACGTTTTTGAGGTTGAAATATCTATATAAAACTATACCGTATACAATCCATGCAGATTTAAAGTGTGTTAGTCATAATATATAACTAATATAACCTATATGCATTAGTAATTTATATGGCTCAAGGCACAATTTGAGCATCTGGAGAATATTGTATAAGTATACATGAATTGCTTGATAATATGTTATATTGTAATATAGTTTATAATACATATTATTTCATGTATAAAAATACTATAACAAAATGTATTTATTTATTTATTTATTTTAATAAATTAATTAATTTAAATAATTAACACCATAACAAACAAAAAAATATTTTATTTTATTAATTTATTTTATATAGGCACAATTTGAACATCTAGAGAATTTTGTAAATTCTAGAATTCTGTTTTTGGATACGATTAGACAACAACAACAACAATAATCATCATCATCATCATCATCATCACTATCATAATAATAATAGTCATAATAATAATCCGAATAATAATCATATGTTTTATTTGTAATGCAACTTATACTCAAAGTGCTGCAACATTACAAAAGTGATCAAAATAGTATATAATATATGATGCTTAACAATAATTATTAAATACTAAAAAGGGGTTCAGATCATAATTGATGCATGTTCACACAGGAACTGAATCTAGAGCCGTCTGCGACCTCACACGGTCTGTCTGATCTGAGAAGCAGCACTGAGCACACAGTCCGACTGCAGGCCGTCACTGAGGACAAGAGGAGCACACGGATCAGCACCGTCTTCAGCACGGGTCAGTCTGTTTACTACACACAACACTGCTTTTCTCCTAGCACAAACTTCCAATCACCCTTAAAGTCACCATGAAATCAAAACTGCAATTGCAAAACATTCTTACTGCAATATTTCATAAAATAAAAAAAAAGTTTCCAAGGCAACGTTTCTCATTTTTGTTCAGTTTAAGCTGAAGTATTAAAATAACTAAAACTAAATAAACTAAAAATAAAAACTATTTAGACATATTCCAAAAAAAAAAACAATCTGATACTGCCTTACTAATATCCCATTCTTATTACATTGTATTATGGTCTTGATTATTACTCTGTCTTCAGAATTGTTTATCGGTCATTCCTTTTGGTTTTAAATTCATATATTTTATTATTTCTGATTCATGTGTTTATGGTTTGATTTTAATGTACAGCACTTTGGTCAGTCTTGTGGCTGTTTTCAAATGTGCTGTATAAATAAATGAACTTGAACTGATAAAAATGGCAAAAACTCATAACAAAATTATAAAACCTTTCAAATTGAAATGAAAACAAAAAACATAACAATAAAATCAAAATGAAAACATTAGCAAAAACTACAAACAGTATATCAATTATTCTAAAATGATCATTACTGTAAATAAATCATTACTGTAATCTTTAATCAATAACATTAATGCTCCACAATAAGGAAAATACTATCACAATTATTGTTTGACATATATATATATATATATACTGTTTTATTTATTTATTTATTTATTTATTTATTTGTCAGAATATAGTTTTTAAGTTTTGGGTTTTAATTGTCATTTATTTAGTTTTAGTTATTTTAGTACTTAAACTAAATAAAACCAAGAAAAGTTACCTTGACAATTAGCTGAAATAAAATGAGTCTACTTTAAAAAAAAAATTTAAAAAAAAAACATTTCAGTTACTCTTTATTTTATTTCAAATAGTGGAAAAAAATGTTTTTAGTTAATAATAATAACCTTGCACTAATTATGAAGATTATTTACTGTTTTATGCAGTAAGATTTATTTATTTGATTATTTTTTTAGCAGTCAGATTTATGCATTATTGCATTAAGTTCTTTAAAAACAGATCCACTTTTTGGCTGTGAGAGGAAAATGCACTCACTGTTCGTGTGATCTGTGTGTGTTACGGGGGAAGTCGTGGCCTAATGGTTAGAGAGTTGGACTCGTAACCCATATTTGCTGTCTGATTGTTGAATCAAATCCTTATATTGTGTGCAGCTGGCACGCGCTACAGGAACACCAAGGACTGCTCAGAAACTCTGCTGAACGGAGAGACGGCCTCGGGTCCGTACACCATTTACATCAGCGGAGACGAGAAGCAGCCGGTCCGAGTTTACTGTGACATGAGCACCGACGGCGGTGGCTGGATGGTGAGTCCAGATCAGCTCTTGCACCGGTTGCACCAGTTAGTTTTACAGCTTACACACTACTAAACATGTTTGCATTGCACCATTAAACTTAGCTGAAACTAACCTCTATGTATAAACTGAATGTTATAAAATAGAAGATTGAATAAACTGAATGGAATAAAATAGAAGATTGACTGAATTGCATCAATAATCTCGTTTTATTGCAGTATTTCATTTAAAAAAACAAACAACAACAAAAAATTTTTGATTTCATGTTGACTTTAAGGATGATTCGAACAAACCCATAACTCTTAAGTTTGAGCAGTAATATAGTTAGTTTTAAATGTGTTTCTGAATTATAAGAATACTTGTTATGCTATTCATGATTAAGTTGTATCATATTTCAATGGAAACATTTTTACTATGAGTAAGTATGGAAGCTTGTTTCTGCCACAAATAATAAAAAAGAAAAATGGTAACTGAGGCTTTCAAGGTAACAATTCTGACTTTCTCACAATTCTAAGAAAAGAAAAAAAAGCCAAGGTCATGGGTTCAGTTTCCAGGGAATGCATGAACTAATTTCCCCTGTAAACAAATGTGTTTGTCTCCACAGGTGTTCCTACGGCGTCAGAGCGGCAAGCTGGATTTCTACAGGAACTGGAGGAACTACTCTGCAGGATTCGGTGACACGAACGATGAGTTCTGGCTCGGTGCGACTCTATTTTAACAGACCAAAGTCATTATAACACTAAAATCTACTCAATCTGGGTTTACTGACGCAGATGGTGCGTCTTTGTCTTTCAGGACTTTCAAATCTTCACAAAATCAGCTCAGCCGGTCAGTACGAGTTGCGCGTGGACCTGCGTGACGGACAGGAGAGTGTGTTTGCAGTCTACGATAAATTTTACATCTCAGATCCTCGGTCCCGCTACAAGATCCAGATTGGTACATACAGTGGTACCGCAGGTGAATTCCATATACTTTATGCATTTGGTATACACTATTATCCAATGTAATACATATTACACTCTTAAAGGGGTCCTATTATGCTCTTTTACAAAGTCTTGATTTTGTTTTGGGGGTGTACTAGAACGGGCTCTCATACTAGGTTGTTCGAAAAACACATTAGTTTTCACATATTTTACATTATTACAACACCTCTCTCCAAGTTGAAAAAGTGAAAAAGCATAATAGGACCCCTTTAAAAATAAAGGTTCCTAAAAGAGGCGATGTCAGTGATGTCATAGAAGAACCATTTTTGGTTCCAAAAATAACTTTTTAGTGAACAGTTTTTAAAATAACAATTTTTCTTAGTGTGAAGAACACTATAATAATCTAATAAAGCAATAAGCCCCAAGAAGCCGTGGTTTACAGTGAATTTATAACAGCTTAGTGGCGTTGTTAGGAACGACGTGAAGCGAAGTGCCTAAAACCCCCTTAGCTGTTATAAATTCACTGTAAACCATGGCTTCACGGGGCTTATTGCTTTTATAAAACGGCTATTCCATATACGTAGTTATTTTTGTACAGTGGAAAAGTTCCATCCATATTTTTTCACTATAAAAACTTTTTGTACAGTGGAAAAGTTCCATCCATATTTTTTCACTATAAAAACTTTTTGTACAATGGAAAAGTTCCATGGATGTTAAAGGTTCTTCATAGAACCATCAATGCCAATTAAGAACCGTATCTCATGCAAATATGATGATCATAAGATCATTTCACCCTAGAATACATGCATACTTCATGATGCATCGTTCTTAAATGAGTGATAATATTTCATACCCAATGTTGGCAAAGGTTTTGTAATATTGAGCTTGTAATATTGTGTCTTTGTGTCTCTCTTTAGGTGATTCCTTGTCATATCACCAGAACAGACCCTTCTCCACCTATGACAATGACAATGACATTGCCGTCACCAACTGTGCCCTGTCCTACAAGGGAGCGTTCTGGTATAAAAACTGCCATCGAGTGAACCTGATGGGGAAATATGGAGACAGCAGTCACAGCAAAGCAAGTCATATTCTCCAATATTTTGGCCAATTAAATTTTATATCAAAATGAATTTTACTGGCGTTTTAAAAAAAAAAAATTTTTTAATAAAAGTTAAATAACATAAACATGATCTGACTTTTCTCAGTAAAATAGACAAAAATATACATACTTTACAATAAGGAGGACCCATTAGTCATGTCAGTTAATGCTTTAACTAACAATGAGCAGCACATTTGTCCTGGTATTTATTAATTAACAGTATTTATTCATTTTGTTAATAAACATACAACTGTTCATTGTTAGTTCAGCTCCATTAAATAATATGAACAGATACAACTTTTGATTTGAATAATGTATTAGAAAATTTTAAATAAACATTGATTAAGATTAGTAAATGCTTTAGAAGTATTTTTCATTGTTAGTTCCATCTAAAACTAAAACTATTAAACATTTTTGTTACTTGAAATAAAGCTGAAATAAGATCAAATAAATATTAGATGAATTACTTATTTAACTGGTTTCAGTTTCTAGTTTTTGTTTAGTTTAAGTTAGTTTAAACAGTAAAAGTACTCAATAAAAATTAACATTGGACTAAAACTAAAACTGAAATAAAAATAAATGAAACCTAAATAGTAATATTTAAAATAAACAAAAAAAAAATAAAAAACGACAGAAGCATATAACAAAATTACTAACAATGTAACTAAAATTACAATTAAAATAAATAAAAGCTAATTCAAAATATTAATAAAAACTATAATAGTATAATTAATACTAAAACAACACTGGTTTATTCATGTTAACTAATGTAGTTAATAAATGGAACCTTATTAAAAATAAAAGCTCATTCAAAATATTAATAAAAACTATAATAGTATATAATTAATACAAAAATTACACTGGTTAGTTCATGTTAACTAATGTAGTTAATAAATGGAACCTTATTGTAAAGTGTTACCAGTATAGCTTAATATTAAGAGGATAGATTTGCATCATAATAATCAGCGGTCTAAATGAAAGTGTAATTAGTAAAAAACATAATTTTCCCTTGGAAATATAATCCATAAAACGTCATCCAAGTCCTCAGGTTCAATAATGCTCGAGTAGATAAAAGTACAAATTCCCCCAAATAATATTCAACTACAATAATTAAAATACATTTAAGTACTTTATACCCTTTCATATACAACACTGAAATGTTTTGTAACATATTGAAATTAAATGAAACTATTTTAATTCACAGGGCATCAATTGGTTCCACTGGAAAGGCCACGAGCATTCGATTCCATTCGCGGAGATGAAGATCCGGCCAGTCAATTTCAGAAACTTGGAAGGCAGACGGAGAAGATCATAGACTTTAAATGTCCCTCTTTCTCTTTTCCCCAAAATCCCACACATCTCTCGGCACAGACAGATACGATTAAAACTCCTGAGTGGAACAGTTTTAGCCATTCGAACATTGCCTTCCATGTCAACATTATTAGACCCAGTGAACGCCAGCGAATACTGTTTCTTTAGACCTTTGATATGTTAGAAACAGACGTGATTGGTGGAGGGTTTTACATAAACTTGGTAGATACAGGCATGTGACATGTGATGTTTGAATGTGACGGTACAAGATCTTCCTATAACAAACCTCCATTTTCAGAATGATTAAAGGAAATATTCAATGATCTTGTACAGATTTTTTTTCAGAGGAGGAAGTGTCTTCGAGACCAGTGATGTCATTTCCTCAACTGAATCATTACCACGCTCAGGTCTGACATGCGGTAGTCAGGATGGTGCAAATAAGTGTGCTCATTTTGTCAGTTTTCAAAATTAAAGAATCAAATTTCAATGTGATTGTTTTCTTTTCCCCCGTAGAGTCCTCAGTATCTATAATCCCTAAAAAGTGTTGATTAAACTTGATCTCTTCTCCTGGAATGTGTCTAAAATTGATCTTCAACAAAATAGGAAATAAAAATTTAATTTGTAACGTTGGGATTTTTAATGTGTTGTCAAGTTCTCTTTACCTATCCAGAAAAAAAATAAAAATAAATAATAATTAGTAATTCTCACAGAGAAATTAGTTTTTTAACAATAATAAAATTATAATATTTTTATTTTAAAAACAAAACTTTTAATCATAAATAATAATATTATAAAATAATAGTATAATATTGTTAAAACACACACACACACACACACACACATACAGTATATATATACAAACACATTATATAGCATAATATAAATATATAATTATTAATTGTTAAAAACCAAAATTCTAATTGAGAAATATATATATATTTCTCAATTAGAATTTTGGTTTTTAACAATTAATAATTATATATTTATATTATGCTATATAATGTGTTTGTATATATATACTGTATGTGTGTGTGTGTTTTAACAATATTATACTATTATTTTATAATATTATTATTTATGATTAAAAGTTTTGTTTTTAAAATAAAAATATTATAATTTTATTATTGTTAAAAAACTAATTTCTCTGTGAGAATTACTAATTATTATTTATTTTTATTTTTTTTCTGGATAGGTAAAGAGAACTTGACAACACATTAAAAATCCCAACGTTACAAATTAAATTTTTATTTCCTATTTGTTTTTTCAATCATATTTTTTTTATTATCATTCAGAAATTTGTTTCTAATACAGCCAGCAATGTTAATTACACATAATAACAACTAATTCTAGTCTTGTTGATGAGCGTAATGTTGCTTCGTAAGCAGACCATGAAGTTTGAGATTGTAAAATATCAACAAGGTCAAGGTTTGTGAAATGTTATTTTTTATGTTTTATGACAATTTTTGCATCTTACATAGAAACATACTTGAATAAACTTTAAAAAAAGATAGAGGTACAGGAAAAACATCTTTCTAAATAGTGGGGAAAAAATTGGGAGCTGTCAAAATCAAAGTGTTGCATTAATTATTGTAGCTCAGTTTTTGATACATACAGTACATTTAGTAACTTCTGTTAGCCAGAATAATTATTCAGTGAATTAAATTGTTCATTAAAAGTAATAAAATATTTTGAATCAGCAGCCCATTGTTATGAATGTTACAAATCTGCGGGTATATAATTTGCAGTGTAATATACTTGAAAAATTAGCTGGAAATTTCACCTGCCACAAATCTCAATTTAAAGAGAAAAATAATAAAGTGAAATTAAGTTTTTGTTTTTATAAAATTGCACATTTTTGAGTTGGACATACATTCAATCCGTTTTCATTAAAGGACAGATCATTATCTAATAACTCTAACAACACTATGCATATTTGGCACAAATAATGTCACAGAAACACAGTATAACATATCTTTTTAATGTCTGGTATCATCTATTTCATCCCTTTTAAGAAATGCCCTAAAACTGAGCTTCATCAGTATTGCAGTTTATAGATCCTCAGCTTTGACATGAACTATTTCTCATATCGAGCGATCAGATTTAGTTTATCGCAAGGCATCGCATGTACAAATTAATCTGTACTTCCGACAATTTACTAAGAAGAAGTGAAAATTTGTTTTAAACCACCATGACTGCACATGTACAGCTATATAAATAATATGCATTAAATATAATAAAATAGATGTAAACTGTATATACATTTACTGTATAAAGATCCCTCGCTTTGAGAGCTTATGGTTATATATAAAGATACATAGCGATTGCTTATATAGTATGAATATATCAATATCTGCTTTTATTTTTAAGAATAGAAGCAGTGTATCATATAAAAGAATAATCATGTTTAATATTTATTTTATTCATCTCTAAAGTATGTCAGCAGTGGTGTCGTCACTCACGATGAGTAAACTGTTTATGATAAATATCATGTGCATTTGCAGATTGAGGCCTCCCATGCACAGAGAAGTTTCAATAGTTGTCATAACTGGTTTAAAATCAGTGGATTCTGGTTAACTAGTTACACCCCCAATGCCAAATATAAAAGAGAATTGTATAGCAAAAGTTTTCAAATGCTTGGTCCTGTGTAAACATCTCAGTTTAGCCTAGAAAATACACAAACTGCCTCGTACGTCGTTCGGCAGTGAGAAGAATTTAAAAGGAATAGAATACAAACTCGCACTCCATGAAGCCGGCAAGCACTACAAACTCAAGCTCCGATGTACCATGTAAACTGTATAAATATTCCTATTTACAAAAGTAATAAGAAGACTTCTCATTGTTTCTTATAAATATACAAAATGCAACATAATAACTTGAATATTCATGTGCACAGGACTCCTGCCCGGGACCGTTTATTTCACAGACACCTACGGTAAGATTTATACGATTTTTACCTTTAAACTTCAAACTATCTTCCACAGATGTATCCAAACACCGATTAAAGGAAATCCACCATCATGACCCTCACTATACTTACTGTGGGACAATTAAAACCCCCTTGACCCTCAAAAAAACAGTTTTGCACTACAGGAGCACAATTTATCCACTTAGCAAGTGTCTTCGACATGCAAATTGCAATTTATAAAAATGCTAAGCAGCGTGTTTGTTTATTAAATTGTCTAATTAGAGGATGCATTCAGCTACTGATAATATTAACGCATTTTACCGTGATTAAATCCATTTTCCACCTACAGTAATTAGTACACTCTAAAAAATGCTGGGTTAAATACAACCCAGTGCTGGGTAAAATAGGGACAAACCCAGCAATTGGGTTGTTTTGACCCAGCGGTTGGGTTAAATGTTTAACCCAACCTTCTGGGTAGGAGAAGTTTCAATAGTTGTCATAACTGGTTTAAAATCAGTGGATTCTGGTTAACTAGTTACACCCCCAATGCCAAATATAAAAGAGAATTGTATAGCAAAAGTTTTCAAATGCTTGGTCCTGTGTAAACATCTCAGTTTAGCCTAGAAAATACACAAACTGCCTCGTACGTCGTTCGGCAGTGAGAAGAATTTAAAAGGAATAGAATACAAACTCGCACTCCATGAAGCCGGCAAGCACTACAAACTCAAGCTCCGATGTACCATGTAAACTGTATAAATATTCCTATTTACAAAAGTAATAAGAAGACTTCTCATTGTTTCTTATAAATATACAAAATGCAACATAATAACTTGAATATTCATGTGCACAGGACTCCTGCCCGGGACCGTTTATTTCACAGACACCTACGGTAAGATTTATACGATTTTTACCTTTAAACTTCAAACTATCTTCCACAGATGTATCCAAACACCAATTAAAGGAAATCCACGATCATGACCCTCACTATACTTACTGTATGACAATTAAAACCCCCTTGACCCTTAAAAAACACTACAGGAGCACAATTTATCCACTTAGCAATGACGTTTCCAAAATAAAGTGTGCTGGCCACATTTCGTGGTTTTCGACATGCAAATTGCAATTGATAAAAATGCTAATCAGCGTGTTTGTTTATTAAACAAACTGTCTAATTAGAGGATGCATTCTGCTACTGATAATATTAACGCGTTTTACCGTGATTAAATCCATTTTCCACCTACAGTAATTAGTACAGTAAATGCAAAAAAAAAGTCTATGTTGTGCTGAAGAGCGTAAAGGAATAGTTCAAACAAAAATGAAAAATTGCTGAAAATGTACTCCCCCCTCAGGCCGTCCAAGATGTAGATGAGTTTGTTTCTTCATCAGATTTGGAGAAATGTAGCATTGCATCACTGTCTCAGCAATGGATGCTCTGCAGTGAATGGGTGCCATCAGAATGAGAGTCCAAACAGCTGATAAAAACATCACAATAATCCACACCACTCCAGTCCATCAGTTAACATCTTGTGAAGCCAAAAGATGCGCGTTTGTAAGAAACAAATCCATCATCAAGACGTCTTTAACTTCAAACTGTTGCTTCCGGCTTTGAAAAAAAAAATCCATAATCAATAAAAATAGTCCATAATCCGTAATAATGCTTCCATTAGTGAAAAGTACATCTCCTGTTGTCCTCTCACATCACAATCCACCCACATATTTGTTTAGAATTGTTTGTAAACTGTGCTTGATCTGTGCATATTTCTCTCCTGATTCAGACCAGACAACATTATTATGGATAGAGGACTCGTTTGAAGTTAAAAACGCCTTGATAGGTTTGTTTCCTACAAATGTGCAGCTTTTCACTTCACTAACAAGATGTTAACTGATGGACTGGAGGGGTGTGGATTATTGTGATGTTTTTATCAGCTGTTTGGACTCTCATTCTGACGGCACCCATTCACTGCAGAGCATCCATTGGTGAGCAAGTGATGCAATGCTACATTTCTCCAAATCTGATGAAGAAACAAACTCATCTACATCTTGCATGTTCTGAGGGTGAGTAAAATTTTCATCAAATTTTAATTTCTGGATGATCTATTTTGCATTATGATCTACACTATGTAACTGGACCGGACTTCACGTTCAATTCCAGTGTTGCATGACCCTTTTGCCTATTATAGAGCTCTACTGACCCTTTCTGGAACTGTGCATCAGTGCAACATTTGTGACAGCTTAACACATGCAGGGAAACGTGTCAAAACAGACGTCATGGAATAAATCTCCTGCTGTGGTGAAGCAGATCC